CGAAGGCCACCGGATCTGATCACCCGTGCGCTGCTGGAGGATTCACTGCCATTTGAAATAGACACCGGAGGGATGAGGGGTGGCTGTCGGGAAACTGAAAAGGGGAGTGGGTTTGGCGGCTAGGACAACGGGAAGAAGAAGAAGAGAGGAGAAGAGAAAAAGGCTTTAAGGCTTTTTTTCATGTTTTAATTTCTTTCACTTTTTCAATTCTTTTTACCAAAAGAATAATAAATCCAAAATAAACCAAAATGACAATAAAATAAGGTTTATGGTTTTCTAAATAAAGGGGATTTTTTCTTAATCCTTTTAAAAAAGAAAACTCATGGTAAAAAGGGTTTGGAAAAATATTTAAGAGATTCATTTATAATTAAAACCCAATAATAATAAAATATAATAGGTAAAATTAATGACAAAAATGTAAATTCTATACATTTCAATCTTTTTATGTAATTATGATTTCTAAATAGACATCAATGTACTAATCCGATTATTTGAATGAGTTTTTTAGGTCTAATTGACCCCTTTTTGCATTAAAATAATAAGGCATAACTACACATATAGTCTCTTTCAAGAAACTATTTACATAAATGACTTTAAACCTTAATAATTTATAGATTCGTCAAAATAGAGGATCAGATTCATATGAAAATTACCAAGCTACCAATGTTCATAAATAAACAAATTACAAATAAAGAAAAACTAAAATTTACCCACCTCCTATATATGATTTTTACCAAAATTGAAGAAACTCTAACCTCTTTCTCTCTCAAAACCCATATACCCTACTATTTCTCTCACTCACTTCCTCACTCCATCAAATCCTAATCTCATCTTTCTCTTCCACTAAGGCCAGCCGCTGCCACGCCTTCCTCGATCCCACCTCCGATGATAATAGTATCAGTGACACCATGTCAACAGCATCAAAGGCGGCAACCTCGTTTGGCTGGCGACACCATGCAATCTATATCGTCCATTTCATTATCTTGAATGGTTAGAATCAGCCAGATCATCGAGCTTTGCATCTTATAGAAGTTCTTCCAATTGCAACAGAGACTCTAAGCTGCTTGAATGGGCAACCTCTCTTGGCTGGCGACACCAGCATCCTTTCCACTCAATACATCACGATTTGTAGCTTAGTTTAGCTTCTTTTATCTCTGCAACATTGTAGTTAACTTGTCAAATTTTTAAAGTTTGTTTTCTTTAGCTTTTTATTAAGTTTTTTATTTAGTTTTCAGGTTATTCTTAGCTTTACTTGTAAACCATAGATTCATGCACTGCTCTTTACTTGTGCAAAAGGTCTTGTAACTACACATTCTTGTAGAATTGAACGAAGTTGTACTCCATGGGTAATGTTCATTTATGTTGCAGCTTGCTTAATTTCCAGCATTGTCTTTTCTTTAATTGGCATCATGAATTCACTAAGCTTGGCTACTTGTTCAGATCAACAATTACATTTTCAATGTGAGCTAAATCCATTATTTCTAGCCCTAGCCCTTTTATAGAGAACTAACTAACGGTTGAAAAGAGGATAGCATAGGATTAAGGGGTTTCGTAAAGGTTAACAAATTTATTTGGCCAATTAAGAAGTTAACACATTCATTTAATACTGAAAGGATTGGATGATTTATTTGCAGTTTAGGTGATTGAACTAAGGAGAGTAAGACTTTAGACATAAAGGTTTCGCTTAAGTAGCCTAGACATAGAACCTTATTGGTTGCAGTTGGTTTTTATTCAAAATAAGGTTTTTTTATTAATAGACATATTTATAAGGGACTTATAACTTCAAGATTTCTTTGACATAAGTAGGTTAAGAAGCAGACTCATTAAAAAACATAGGGAAGTGCCTGGTGTCATGGTCATGCTCGTCCAGAGCATGTCTCCCATGGCTACTGATAACTCTCCTAAAGAGAGTTATTTGTGCCTATAAGTTGCATGCAATAGCTAAAGTTAGTCTTATCTAGCCCCAAATATTCAGTGAGTGTGCTTAAATTAGAAGATAAATCAATGATCTCACATGGCTAAGAGTTTAATGTTAGCGCCCAATTAAATGATCTGATTTTGACCATTTTGCTGTAGTTTTGATGATGTTATAGCACCGGTTCTGGAAAAAGACAAAAAGTAGCAAGCTAGCAGTGAAAGAACTTCTCAACGGCATTCACCACAGTAATTGGAGGTTTTACCTGAGATTGAAAGCTGGGTCCCACAGGACTTGTTTTATTGCACTAAAATTGGAAGAGGGTATAAATGTAAACAAGAGGATAAGCCTCCACAGAGACTCCAAGAGAATTCACTTGTTCATTCACGAAGGAATTCACCCTCACTCCAAGAAATCCTCTAAAAAACTGTTAGAGAAAGTCAAGAGAAGAAGAAGACTAACACCAATAGGTGAGAAGAGGCCGATAACTCCTATTTGGGAGCCGATATTCAATTCCCTCTCTTTATTTTTAGTATCTTTATATTGTTTTTATTCCTACATTTTTTAATCTCCTTATGACATTGTCTAACTAATCACGTTGTGTAAGGGGGAGATGTTCTGAGCTCATTTTCTGGTCTGTAACTTTGTTGTTTTGCATTAATGAAAGTATGCTTTGAGTTGAAGTTGTTTTATCACTCTACTTTTGATGTGCTTGATCACCATGTTGAAATACCTCTTTGAACTTTTGGAAAAATGTATTAAGGAGCGAAAACCTTCATCTCGAGCTAGAGTCTACTTGAGTTTAGCGTATGGTAACTTAAGGATAAGCATCACCTTGCTTGGTCATGAAAACTGTGCATATATGCTGTTATTGTTTGTCTATGAACGTTAATGGTAGAAATTCTGGGGTGTTTGAAAGAACATCTTGTCTGTTTGACCACTGCATTTACTCCATTACTGCTGCATCATAGTTAAGGTGGCCTAGAAAGAGTCGACGTCTTCTCCCCCTTGCGCCCTTATTTTCATAAGAATTTACTTAGCAATTGTGGATGTTTGTCACTGTAGCAAAAAATTTACTCGTGATTGGTTTATGAAAAATATTTAAAACAGCTTTTGTTCCAATACATTTTAGCTATTATTCGGAAGGAAACTCCTTGGCATTTTTCATTGATTTCTTAAGTGATTATTGGGTGTTTGGTCATTTTGTCTATGTGGATTCGAACTTTTTTTTACTTGCTGCGACGATTGTGTACACTTGCACATATAATAATTGGTAGCATAATCTGTGGATAACAGCTACATTCCCATGACGCTCTCTTCCCTCCTACTTTTATGTCATGTATTTACTTTTGCACGTTATATACTTTTCAATGTACTTTTGGTGGCGAGTGACTCCTCGCCACTTTGCATGTTCACGCATGTCAGAGGCAAAATGCTTTATAATGTACTATAGGGGGTACACCTAGTCTCCTCCCTACATCGAGTTGTATTCTTGTCTTGCCGCTAATCTATTCTCTTGCATTCAAGCATACAACAAGCTTTCCAAAATATCTTCAAACGTTTTCCACACCCTTTTTCTCTAACCCCGTTTTCCAAAACCGTTTTCTTCAGAGTATAACCATAGTGCCACCAGCTATCCGATTCTTGTTGGCTGACTTGCTTGTGGGCAGGAGCAAGTACCGCACAATTGCTTTGGGAGTCCTTTGAAAAGTGCGATTTTGACAGTTGGTATCAGAGCCTAGTTGGCTCCTCGAATAGAGATCAGTAATCATGTCTGCACTGAAACAGTTGAATAAGACACATGTCGAACGACTCGTGGAAATTTAGGAACAGCTGTTCTTCATAAGGGAAGTCCCTGATCATGTTCGGTTCCTAGAAAATCGACTAAAAGAGTTGGCTAGCAAAGCCGATGGAATCGACGCGACAAATGCTGAAATTGACGTATTGCTAGTAAAAGAGTTATTGGTTAGAGTTGAGACCCTAGAAAGTAAAGTCGGGAAAACAGCTAGTTTCAAGCGAGGGGATAGCTCGACGAGCTCTATTGCTCATGTAGAGGAACGTGTCGAAGAGTTAGACAACTCCCTAAAGGCGATAATGTAGATGGTCAGCGACCTTTTCAACGACTTTCTAGCTACTATAGAAGTCATGCGGGCAAAAGTCGTCGAGATAAACATGAAGGTGAACCTCACCATGAGAGCGGTGGGAAACCAAGGCCCAGTATGGGGCAATGTCTAGTTTAATAAGGTGAAGATTCCGGAGCCCAAACCCTTTGGCGGAGTTCGCGATGCCAAGACCTTCAAGAACTTCATCGTTGACGTCGAACAGTACTTTCGAGCTACGAATATAACGACAGAAGAAGCTAAGATCACTTTGGAAACCATGCATCTAACTGAAGATGTAAAGCTATGGTGGAGGTCTAAGTATATGGACATCCAAGAGGTTCGATGCACTATAAACACATGGGATGAGTAGAAGAAAGCTCTCAGGGTGCAGTTTTTTCCGAAGAATGTTGAAATTCTAGCGAGACGTAAACTGCGAGAGTTGCGACGTATTGGATACATTAGAGACTAAGTGAAACAGTTTGCGGGACTAATGTTAGAAATACAGGATATGTCAGAGAAAGACGAAGTCTTCTACTTCGTGGAAGGTTTGAAACCATGGGTCAAGTCCAAGTTGTATGATTAAGGGGTTCAAGACCTCAGTTCTGCTTATGTTGCTACTGAACACCCTGTTGATCTTACTAATGATCAATCTCAGGA